CGAACCAGGTCCAGCTGATCTGGGACGGGACCATCAGGGCTAGAAACCTCCTTCAGATGATCGTGGCGGCCAGGAGGGAAGCCGAGGGACTCTAAACTTCCCAGGACTTGAACTGTAATCTGATATTTGATGTGGAAGGGGATGGCTGTGAATGACTGAGTGAATGAATGAATGAATGAATGAATGAATGAATGAAGGAAGGAAGGAAGGAAGGAAGGAAGGAAGGAAGGAAGGAGGGAAGGAACTAATGAATGGATGAGTGGACTGAATGTGAGTGAGTGAGTGAGTGAGTGAGTGAGTGAGTGAGTGAGTGAGTGAGTGAATGAATGAATGAGTGAGTGGATGAATGAGTGGCTGTGAGTGAATGAAGAATGAATGAACGAATGAATGGATAGATGAATGAATGAGATAATGGCGAGTGAAGGAAGGATGAATGAATGAGCGAACGAATAAATGAATAATAATGGCAACCTGATACATGTAGTAATAATGGGATGTAGATGATAAGATACAAAATGCATATGCATTCTCTGAATACAGGGATGGGGATAGACGACGTCTTTCCTTTTATCTCACATTTATGGTTCTCTACATCACAAAAACATTGCTCATTTGGGGGGGATTCAAGGTACGAAGGAATAAAAGATGAAACTATTTGAATTGCAAGTCTGCTGTCTTCAGTTCTTCAGGTATTCTACAAATGTTTATGCTTTACTTGACTATCACATCTATTAACGTTGACTGCTGAAGGGAAAAGGTTCTACAGTATTTTACAACAAACCAGGTTCATTTCACACTTTATTTCCTTTTTCTGTGTTGTTCCATTCATTCAATTTACCGTCATAAAGCTGTTTCCCTGACCATATTTTATTCAGAATAAAGTAACCAGCTACCCAACGGTCACTACGTAATATTTTGTACTACAAGCTATATATACATTGGAACTTTTTTTCTGTTATTGTTTGACTTTTAAATTAACAGATGAATAATGGTGCTAATGTTACAATTGTCAAGAAATATGTGTACGAGCCTTGTAATGGTCAAACAAGAGTTCCGAGATCTCATACCTCCATGAAATATGGGCTTGATATGTTAATGTAAATTTCTTCTTTAATTACGCAAATGACCTCTGCATTAACATAATATATGCATCGTGATGTTAACTTTCGATTAACTTAAAGATGTCCCAAGTATGACATTCCCATCATTCACCATTGAGAAATCATAGATTTTTTGCACTAATTATGCATATTAGTTCATCATTTGCATAATTAGTATCTGTTGATGTTCCATCTGCCATAGGTTACATACATTACATGTATGAAAGTTCTATAATGTAAAACACTGTAATTATAGAATTTCCTCCTTAATTATGCCAATTAAGTCCTCATTTGCATAATTTGCATTTAATCATGTACAACTCTCTGTCAGATACCTACACACCAAAAATGATGAAAATACGTTGTTCCAATCTGGAGTTATTGGCTTTTAAAGTTTTTACCAGAAACTAACCTGCAGTTCCAGAATAAGCTGCTAGGGGGACCAATCTTACGCCACTTATTCCTGACAGGATAAGCTATCTGTCACCAAAAATTCAAGACCATAGCTTGTTCAAGACAAAAGATACCAAAACCGGAAGTTCTGCTGCAGTACCAAGGTCAGCCACCAGGAGGCCCATACTTGACCTTGACCTTTGTCTTTCCAAGACTTACCAGCATACCAAATATCATGGTAATCCATAAAGGCGTTCTGAAGTTATGCTGACTACAAAGTTGCGGAAACACAGACAGACACACACACACACAGACAGACACACACACAGACACACATACAGACAGACGCCGCCAAAAACAATACCTCCATTTTTCATGGAGGTAATAATGTGTCCGTTCTAGGACGAGCTTCACCGCCTCTGGCTGGACCACGTCGGCATTCGGCCGAGATACGCTGGGTGGGGGGCGCCAGCAAGCAGGTCATTGACCTTTGACATAAATAACACGCTACCTTGCGTGTTTTCATCAAACAACAATGAATGCAGTTTCGGAGAATCGTGGTCGGGCACGGTTTGAAAGGAATGTATGGCACGTGGACCAGATGGAGGAATGCGAGTTACCCGAATCGCGGTTCGGGTGGTTTCATATGAACAAGGCCTTAGTCCCAGTCAGTCACTGGCTTCCAACACAGTTCAAGCAGATCTAGATGTAGGGATGGGGAATCTTGACGTTTTCTCTCTGACTGACTGATTTTGTGCGAAAAGGATGGTGTGTCAGAAAAACAAGGCGGCCAGTGAAAACTTTTGCCTCCAACATCTGCTTGAAGATTTACCATTTGCCAAGCAGATGTGCGATCCGGCTCAGTCAGTTTCATAGTTTGCGCGTCCTTTTGCTGTATTCTTTTTAGCAATGCACCTATGCCTTTTGTACCAGTATTCGCCCTCTCCTATATGTACCTATGTCAAATGAGATGAACGTGCATGTACCTACAACATGCCACAGAATACTACAACAGGATCCTACTAGCCTGGGTGCCACCCGTTTTACACGGTCATTAGTTTTCAAGGAGATGCAGGGGTGTACCTTCGAAAGAGTACTCCGGGCTCCGACCTGAGAAGGTAAAGCGCTAGGAACACCGGACAACTGAACTATGAATTATTGAAAACTTCCACTGAAACACGTTAATAATACTAGTAAAAAAAATAACGGTAAAGAGTAATAGTCAATATGAAGAAACAAAGTCCTCCAGAAACGTAATAGGCCCCTTGCTAAAAATGTTCTTTAGAAAGTAGAGTACCGCAAAATGATAAATGAGTAAATCTGAAAGTTTCTATGAAATACAGGGCAACAGTGTATTGGATACACTGTATTACTAGGTTTTTATTGCCTCACGGTATGGTGATTGTCTAGTACGATGAATCTAATTTGTCACTTGATTATAATAATTAAGAAAAATGCAAATCCAGGTGATTCATTATCAGGTGGTAGGACCACGCCGTTTCAAGATAGCGAGTGTGTTTGGAAGGGACAGAACTCGGCGGTTAAAATTCGCCTTGGAAGACGCGCTACGTCCGTTTTTAGGTGGTGAGTGTTGCTTAATATTGTCCTCTATATTTTAACCTATTCATACAAATCACGGTACACGGTATATCAAGAACGGTCGTCGTGTATTTGAACCGCAGTTTACAGGGTACCATTTTCTATGGGGTGCATTTCGTAAACTAATCACTAGGAGACGCTTTTAGACCGTGAGAAATAATGTGCCATGTGTGCAGTGCAGCTGTGTGCGCTCGCTTTGTGACGCACGTTGCCGCGAGGCGTGTTGTGTGGCCCTGCGAGATGTTCTCCTGTTCCCCCAACATTTGGGGTACATTTTCGGCTTTTTGTCAACAAATTATCAGTCTTAAAGTGTGCAGTTACCAAGAGGGACGTTTCCAGGCTGGATTTATGCGGTTTGTTGGATATTTGATGGAGAATATGCGCATTTCCTGACAGGGCGAAGTTTGGACAAGAAACAAACCATTTATAGCCACTGGCATGGCGGGAAGAACGCGTGGTGTTGAGAAGTGAGAAGACCCATTCTTATGAGGTAAGACGACAAACTATGTCTTTGAATGTACATGTTATAAAATATAATGTTATGAAACGAGTACAACGAGTGAGGAGGGTGATAAACAGGCAGCGCCTTTGGTCACCTAGGAACCTTCAAGGTACAGTATCTTTACCCCTGTGGGGTTTGCGGAAAAAACAGTCCAGTCTGAATAAAGGGTCTGCATGGGGTCTATGCTTGGTTTTGATAGAAAGTCCAAATAGCGGCTATTCAAGACGCTATGTACAGTACAACTACATGTAGGTTGAGACAACAAATACGACGTTAATGTGTGGCTGCACATGAAAAGGGGACACAGGCTAAGGTCATATAGATTGATTTATGTCCTTGCAACATTCAAGGGATGTTTGTATTTCAAAAAAACCTGCTGCAACAAATATTTTTATTTTATTAATAACCATTATGGTTCGTAGAACTGATTTCTATTAGTCTCCTATTTACAGCATTTGAAAAAAAAGTAATTACTAGTAGCTCTTCAATGTTTGAAGTCATGAGCATCATTGTCTTCGTCAGAAAGACTATGGAATTGTCCCACCGTATTGTGGTTGACTGCGGATTTAGTGGAGTACTAGTAACTCTTCAAGGCATGATTCAACATATATTTTTGGCAGGTTACCGTTGTTGAGACCAAAGTCAAGTCCAAGTTTGGGCTTCGTGGGGTTCCCTACGTCACTGCACTGGACCTTTTGTGTTTGTCGCTTGTTAGCAAAATAACTCAAGTATATTTAAATGAATGTTCATGATTTTTGGTAGGCAGGTTACTGTTGTAGAGGCCAAGGTTAAGTTACGACGCTGCAGTTAGAAATATAACGATGCTCCCCCACCAACCTCTGCTTGGATTCAACCAGGACAGCTGGGAACCCCATCTGGAATCAGTTGCTTAAATTGAGGGGCTGTTCTATAATAACTACAGTGGGAGGAGGAAATTTTGGACATGCATCAGGTCATTCCCTAAGGCCATATAGTTAGGTGTGTCTTAATGTTCCTGTCCTGACTGGGAGAAACCTGTAATGAAGGTGAGCAACTGTCCAAACCAGACCAGATTTACTTCTATACAGCTAGGTGGCTGCTTTCCTGACATCATCAGCTGCTGTCCGGTCTTCCTTACAATTTACATACTCAAAGGTTTCGCCCCTCAAGCAGG